ACAAAACTTGAATGAAAGATGAAGCCCAGAAAAAAACCAAAACTCAAACATGAACGGAACTCAAAAGAAAGACAAAACATCAGATGAAGTTAAACAATTCTTATTTGTGCAACTATAATTTATAGTAACCTATTTTATGATATTTCACCACTCGAAGGTTTATCTATCTCCAAATTAAGATATGAAGAATTAGAATTAGATATTGATAATATTATTGATATTAAAGAATTGTATATTACCGAATAATATTTCTTGAATAAATATTGCTTTAACATTTATTTAAATAGAATTGTTGTAAGTTAGCATCTGCTTGAAGTTGTAATTTTAAGTACTTGAAGTTAAACTTGCTAACTAATGCATGCAGGAAGATCTAATTTCAGGGCTAATTTTGGTCTGGCTTAACTTTAAGCACTTGAAATTACAGCTTCAAGCAAATGCCAACTTAAAGTACACAAGTATTTGGTTTAGTTAGAAAATTTACTATTCAAAAAAATAAAATACTGTTACTTACTACTATTTATAATCTTTATATATATTGCTCAGGGTCTCACTATACATATCTCTTAAGTAGCTTTTGAGTGGCAAGTTTCATCTGCTTCTGCTTCAAGTATCCCTGTAAAGAGCTATTTGTCAAGATTAATAGAAATAATGACAAAAGGAATTTCTTTCCTTTTGTCTTAACCTATTATACTGTTTTCGAATTAGTACAATAAAAATAATTTTGTAAATCTCATGAAGCCTATGTATTACGATTGTAAAAATATTTTTATCGCACAGATTCAATTACAGTATGCTGCTCTTGTACTTGATATTAACAAAAAAAAATTACTGTATATGATTTCTTAAAAAACTACTTCAAATTGTTTCTTTGTTTAATATAACATAAAATAGCTCATGGGAGGAGGATATAAAAAAATAACTAAAAATATAAAAAGCTATATAATACATACTAAATTTGAGTTATTTTTTTGGAAAAAAATTGAAGTTAAACAAAGAACCAATTTAGTGTAGTTTAAATAAAATCTACATAAATTTATATATATAACAATTGTATAATTTCTAAACTATTTGATATAGTTTATATTATATATAAAACTTTCAATTAATTAGAATTACTGACAATATTCTATTAGATTTTTTTTACTAACTATAAAAGTACCCAAAACAAACTGACCTAGAATATTATGAATAGGTATGATACAATCTCTACTTAGATTATAAAAACTCTTTGTTTGATAATTCAATATTGCATATATTATTAATTTGATAATGAAATTTAGTTTTACAATCTGCAGCCTGATACACCTAACAAAAGCTAATGCATGCTTTTTTGGCCCATCCGGAAGTTGAATCGTATGTTCAAAATAGAATTGAACAAGTTCAGGATATGTGTTAATTGAATTATCATCAGATATGAATTTAGCAAGAATTTTGGCTGAAATTTTATGTCTGTTTGCATATATTGATTCAAACACTTCTTCACTAAGTCTTAATTGACCAAATTCAGTAATTTGTGATAATACCAGTATTGAATTGGGTGTGCTGTATAGAGTTCAAATAAGACTACAAAATTGTAGTCATATGCATTCGTATAATATTCTATTAATAATTCCAATAAATCTTGTGAAAGATGAGTCTTGTTTGTAGACTTTAAAAATTCACTGGGAAATGTTTCAAATCCTATTTCAGAATTTTCTTTGATGTCTTGTGATATAGAAAGAAAATTTTGACAATCTTCATATACTGTAAGACTACCAGTAGCCTGTTTTGGTTCTGTAAATTGCAAACATGTAACTAAATATTCACTGTTTGTATATGATATTCTTTCATTAAGAAGAAAATTTGATTAGAAAATTGTAAATAATTCTGGCTCAATTCTCTTATTGCTGTTGTGAAATGAATCTATAATAAAATGAGTACATGAGTTATTGGCATATATACCTAATTGAAAAAAAACTAATATACCAAAATATATTATTTACCTAATAAACTATTCATATGTTCATAACTAAAATACCAAAATGTATACAACGGACCATAATCTAAAGCGTATTTACTTATATATAAACATTAGTGAAGGTTTGGTATAATTTTTTTAGACCCATAACTAGTTTTAATTTGCTTACCATATCTAGAAGACAATTATGAGCTTCCTAAATTTATTCTTGGTCACAATATAGCATACTAGGATCAAGCATGTATGGACAAAATTGGCAAAAATATTTCTGTCAGATTTCTGCAGCAAGTTCCATATAATAGTGGTTGCATATATTAACATAAAAGTTTTCTATTGGTTGGCAGTAAATCTGGCAAACTTGTCTACTGAAATCTTGCTGGAGATTCTTCTGATATTTACTGGTACTCTAATATTTTTGATTTAACTTGCCAACTTGGTCAAATCATGTAATGTTAGATAATCTTCCTTTATCCACAACTTTATCATGATCCATTTAGCAATATCCATAAACAGGCAATGTATTAGATCTATAACTAGGAAGCGAATAGAGTTAAAATATAGAAGCCGGTATATTTCTAACTACTGAACTAATGATATTGATACATGTTTTTTCTATTTATCATCTGTAATACAGCTCTTCCATATGATCATGTTGTTGTAAATAGCATTAATATCCCTTTTCACAAACCATTCTTCTATATTGGTGAATCTACCAAAATTAGACTAATCTATATTATTAAAATTAGCCTTTTTTTATACACCTATGACATGCTATTTTGGCTAATATATGACTGCATAGTTTTCTTGCTGCAGGTATATCACATGAGCAATATATCACAGCAACGTGAATAGATTTGCCAGTAGGCTTTCATAAGTGCTTTCCAATTTAATACCTAAACAGAAAAAAGTTCATATTATATTAAAAAATATTTATATTGTTGTGGCTAAAGCTTGAAATTAAGAACCTCAATTTAAAAATATAAAACTTCCAAAATCTACAAATATTTTTATTATCAAAACTAACTCTAAATTCTAAACTAACTACAGTCAGCCCTCTCAAAACTGGTATACATAGTGGACGGGTTTAGTATCAGAAATAGCAGATTATCGTTTATTATTTATAGAACAGGTGTCTGGTAAATTAATTTTTAACTAATTTTGGCAAGTTATCAGTTTTGATAAGATCAGTTCTAAGAGAGCTGACTATATAAAAAAAAGGCTAAAAAATGTATCCAAAAAATTTTAAAATTTTCATATTAAGCTTTAGATATTTTTATTATCAAAACTAACTTTAAATCCTAAGCTAACTATAAAAAAAAGCTTAAAAAATACACTCAAAAATTTTTGAAAATTTTATATTAAGCTTTAGCCACAACATATATTATGTATGTAATAATAATATACTATTCCACAATTCGACGAATTGATCTATTAAAAGTGCTAAATAATGGTTTAATTGGGTCTGGATATCAATGCCAGTATTAACATATTTGATAGTTTAAATCTCTGGTCACATGAAAGGTTGCAAATCGCATCAATACTATATTGTAAATTGTGAAAGGGTTGAAACCAATCTAGATTCAACATCAGCCTCAAATGATTATCGGATATTTCTTTTCAAAAAAAGGCAAATTTTACTCAGATCTTGAAATGTTTTCTAAATCCTTCTGTCGTAAATATCTGTTAGGTTTTCAGAATTATTAGGCTGATTTGCCCACTTCCTACATTTCATTTCAAAATCTTTCCAATTATATAGCAGCTATAATTAATGCTTCAAATTGATTACTGGATAGGTTGATAGTAGTTTATAAATTATACCATCTGAGATAAGAATTTTCTTAGATAGGTTAGTATCACATGATAGTCTTTTATTGGCCATTAGATGATTTGGAAATCTTTAAATATGCATTTAATAATACTTGGATGTTGATTTGGTTTTTTGGTTGACACATTATTAATTGAATACAATTTGTGACATATTTCATATTATGCATATTTAAGTATATGAGAACAAATACCAAGCATGCTATGTATCATATTCAGAGAACCCAGAAAGTTGATAAATATATTTTTATCAAGAAGGTTTAAAAGATATTTGAGAAATTTGATTAAGGATTCGGTGGCTATATTGGATGACCAATATCTTTTCTGGTATTTTAGGACCCATAAAATGATCTATGCAAAAGGCTGGTCATTAATATTTTTGTTAGAATTATTGCTGTTAGCTCTATTTTGAGGCATATTGAAATTAATAAATTGGTCTAGAAATCATCATTGGCACTATATTTACTTGATCTGTCATCTTTTCAATTATCTTCATTATCATCTGAAAATAATTGATCAATTAATTCAATATGAATATGCCAATTACTAGTTGCTTGTGTAGATTTAACTTTGCCTTTATTTTTTGCTGATAAAAAATTAAAATCACAACTAATTTCTTGATTTATTTCATTATTCAATTCATAATCAGACATATCTAGTTGTATAAAATCAAACAAAAAACCTGTCAGGATGCTTCTTTTGCTTGTAGTTTCAATTTGTTCTGTGTTATTTATTGGTAAGATCTTTCTTTCATGTGACTTTTTAGTTGTATGTAACTTTATAGTTCATAGATCCTTCAAGGCACCTTTGCAATTACTGTATATGCAATTTCTTAGATGCTTTTTTTAGTCTTATATATGTTAGACTTACTAGTATTCAAAGTGCTGGTAGAGGTTTTTGAATAACAACTTTTCTAGATTTATATGTTATTTTTTGGATATTAATATAGTAACAATAAAAAATTTTATTAGTTTCTGTAGTAGCGACGATTAAAGATGTAAAAACACTTAAGAGTTGTTAGATTTGTTTATTTGACAACTATTTATAAAGCCTTTCTATTTATAAAAGCATAATTATATTATATATCAAAAAGATTATCAGTATTTTTAATATTCTTTTATATATATTATATGATACGTCAAAAGGCTGTAATATTATAATACCATAACTAGCACATGCTATAACATTTGACTTGTATCATAAAATTTGACCTTTATATGATATTCTAATTACGTTTGACTTATGCCATAACATCTACCTTTACCTGAGTCCTTTGTCATAATATTTCTACTCATCCTTATTTACCATTACGTCTTAACAGTTAGCATGAAATACAAAAATCTATACTAATATTCTCAATACTATAGAAAGAATATATAAGCTTAATTATAGTAATTTAGCTCAAAAAACCTTTTGCTTATATCATTTTACAAAAGGTAAATTATTTTACCATTTTATTCAATATAAAAAATATATATTTTTTTCATTATTAAGGTGAGGTCTTGCCTCATATCTTTATTATATGTGTTAAGTATTTGTCTTATATAGCTACATATAATCTTAAGAATACTTGCTTAGAGTATGCTATGTTCCTACTACGTATTGGGTTAAACCTAGATTTGGTGTTCAAACTATATCTAGTTACCCACCGCATTTACCTCATATCTTACTG